CACAACTCCCACACCATAATCACTTGCATCACATATCAATTTAAATGGTAGAGTCCAGTTAAGAGGTTGCATTATTGGGGTAGAAATTAACATACCCTTAAGCTTATCAAAAGCTTCTGGCATGTTTGACTCTATATGAAAGTTACATCCTAACTTTGGAGATGACACATGGGTTTAGATATTGTACTAAAGTCTTTTTTGAATCTCCTATAGAACCATGCTTGTCCTAGAAATGACCAAACATCTTTAACAGTCCTAGGAGCAGGCATATTTTCAAGTAGATCTATCTTTGCCTTGTCAACTTTTTTGCCTTCAAACGACACAATGTGACCCAAGACAATGCCTTGTGTTACCATGAAATGACATTTCTCCCAATTGAGTACTAGATTGGTTTCCTTACATCTTATCAATCCTTTCTCTAGATTTGTCAGACACAAATCAAATGAATCACCATATATAGAAAAATCATCCATGAACACTTCCAAAAATCTCTTAGCCATGTCACTAAACAAACTCAACATGTACCTTTGGAATGTTGCAGGAGTGTTACAAAGTCCAAACGACATCCTTTTGAATGCAAAGGTGCCAAAGGGGCATGTGAATGTTGTTTTCTCTTAGTCATTTAGTGCTATCTTGATTTGATTATACCTAGAATACCCATCTAAGAAATAGTAGAATGCATGACCTGTAATTCTTTCTAAGACTTGATCAAGAAAAGAAAGAGGAAAATGGTCTTTTATAGTTACCAAACTGAGTTTCCGACAATCTATGCACATTCGCCTTCCTGTGACAGCTCGAGTTGGTACCAGTTCATTGGCATCATTTTTAACCATTGCGACCCTAGACTTCTTGGGCACAACTTGGGTTGGGCTAACCCATTTACTATTAGAGATGAGAAAGATTATTCCTGCATCCAATAGTTTGAGCACCTCAGTTCTTACAACCTCCTTCAAGTGGGGGTTCAGTTGTTGCTGCATTTGACGAAAGGGTTTTGAATCCTCCTCAATATATAGCATTATTGTAGATTAATGGGCTTATACCTTTCAAATCAAAAATGGTCCACCCAATAGTGCTTTTATGGCGTTTAAGGAATTCAATCAACTTAGACTCTTGCAGATCTGCAAGCTTGGATGAAATTACCACTAAATATGACTTGTCCTCCCCTAAGAATGCATATTTTAGGTCAGATGGGAGAGGTTTTAGTTCAGGCTTTGGTGGCTTGACACTTGATGAAAGTGGCTTTGTACCACTTGGTGAGAGTTCTTCGAATTTGGGTGCCCATGTCCCAACAACATGAGCAGGGAAACTCTATAGACCTTGATCATCATTTATTAACTCAGATGTGATAGGTTCCAACAGAAAAGATTCAGCAGAGTTTCACAAAATGTATCATTCAAATGTTCGTGTACCAAAGACTCAATGAAATTTACTTCTCACACTTCATTTTCCTCTTCTGGATGCTTGGCAAAATTGAAAATGTTAAGTTCAAGAGTCATATTCCCAAAAGTTAATTTCATAACTCCATTCCTGCAATTGATTGATGCATTTGAATTTACTAGGAAGGGTCAACCAAGAATGATAGGAATTTGATCCTCTAAATGCATTGTTGGTGGAGTATCCAAGACAATGCAATCAACAGGAAAAACGAAGTTTTCCACTTTAACAATGACATCCTTCACAATGCCCCTTGGAACTTTGACAAACCTATTTGCCAACTAGAGTGTGATACAAGTGGGTTTGAGTTCACCTAAACGCAATTGTTGGTAGACAGAGAAAAAGAGAAAATTGACACTGGCTCCAAAATCCAATAGTGCTTGTTCCATCCTAAAATTTTTGATGACACATAACACAGTTGGACACCCTAGATCCTTGTATTTTGAAGAATTTTTATGTTAGAGAATGACACTGGCTTATTCTGTTAAGAAGACCCTTTTCTGAACATTCTGGCTTCTTTTGATTATGCATAAGTCTTTTAGAAATTTGGCATAAGAAGGAACCTGTTTGATTACATCCAGAAGTGGAATATTGCTTTTTACTTGCTTAAAAAGCTTGTAAATTTATTTATGGGTATTCAATTTCTGTGTTTTCTTGAGTCGTTGAGGAAAAGGAGCAGGAATAGGACACGAAGGATCTTTTTCCTTTGACGGTTTTGGTTCCTTTTCAATCACAGGTTTAGGCTCAACTGGTTTATTGACTAGGATTGACTTAGGTTTTGGATTTGAAATTAACATATCTCTGATGGATTTCTCGATTACCTTGCCACTTCTCAGCGTAGTGACAGCTTGAGCTTGTTCTTGTGGAATTTCCATGATTGAAGGATTTCCCACATTAAATTGACCTTGTGGTTGTTTTGTTGGGCAAGAAACTTACCCTTCTCATAAGTAGTCATTGACTGGGTAAGCTTTTGAATATGATTTTTGAGATCCTCGAAAGACTGAGTGGTCTAGGTTTTGAAGTCATTGAAAACCTGAGTGAAATGATTGTTGTAGTTCATTTGCCTTTGCATGAACTGATTTAATGTGTCCTCAAGACTTCTCTTATGTGGTGGTTGGTATGGTTGATATGCAGGAGGTCCTTGAGGTGGCGGTTGTGAACTTTGTTATGGATTTATAGGAGTTGGTTGTGTGTTCCTCCAACTAAAGTTCAGGTGATTCTACCACCTTGGATTATATGTTTCAAAATATGGGTTAGAATAAGGCTTGTTGAAGTTGGAAATTCCAGTTTTCTATTCTAACAAGACTTCTTTGAATGCCGAAATGGTAGGGCACCCCAATAGGGTGTGTTGTCAGTGCACAAATCCCACACTCTTGTTCTATGGGAGGAGCAACATCGACTTGATTTACCTTTTTCATCTTTAGAGCTTCAAGATTTCAAGACAAGGTAGTCATTTTCGCTCTTAGGTCATCATCTTTTTTCAAGACATACTTACCCCCTTGGGAAGTAGATGGTTTGGAACTCAAGTGGTTTTGTCACCCACAGTAGATAGGATTCAACAAGCCATGTCTCATCACCTTGGCAGTCTTCTGTAGGTCCACAAAACATTCAAGAGGGCGTTCAAATATGGATTGGCATTCGAAAGTTGTACTTAAGTACATCTTTTTCTTCTGTGATAATAACTACAACACGCCATATGCCATCACCCTAGCACTCTTCCAGGGGCCCTCAATTATTTCAAGATGGTCGTTCGAACATGAATTGGTGTTCGAACATTGATGCCTTACTTCAAACTTCTCCAATTTTCTTCCAAAACATATGGGTTTTGCATGAAAGCTTGATGTTTATTGAATTTAGGCCCATGAACAATCTTTTTCCTGAAATGCCATCATTGAAACTCTACCAAAGCACAATTAGTCTTATAAAAGCATAGTAAGATGCTAATTTTAACTACTAATCATCTTTTACCGGTAGCTTTATGCAGGGAGGTATCGGTAGCTCCTCTCACTGTCTTGAAATTCTTGATTCCTTGAGCTCCCCGAGCCATCCATCATGAGATTCTTCCCCATCAACCTTGATCACTTAATGGGGTGCTTTATACCTCTCCTTTATAGCCTATTACCTACAATCAAGTCAATCTCCATTAATTATCAATTTGAATCCATTTCCCCAAAAATTCACTACAAAAAAAGTTAAATTTGATGCAATGTTCCATACTTATCGCACCCCCCAACTAGAGCTTTGCTAGTCCCTAGCAAACCTTATTTCAAAACTATATAATGCACGTATAGCAATTTCGTTGATGTTAAACAATTCATAGACCAACAAAATACTCAAATCAAATTTCAATTATGTAAATGAACTTAGGGAACAATTGAAATAAAAAGCAACATTCTTTCATTCATAGATATTTGCAATAAGTACAACGAACACAAAACAAAATAGCCTATGTTCCTAGGGACTCTTTTACTAGGCTGTTTACTTCTAGACTACTATCCCTTATATACAACCAATCAAAAACATCAACAAAAGAGAAACAAGACTAGACTCTCTCCATTCCTCCTCCTCTTCATCATCATCATCATCCTCATCCTCATCTTCCTCCTCGTCATTGGACTCAACCACCTCCACAATAGTCGAGCCGGCCAGGGTAGAGGCCCAGATATAAGCACTAGTCCCCGAAGCTGATGATGGGGGAACTCTGGTGTGGCAGGCGGTGGTGGTGGCATCTTGAGGATAGGCTCTTCGAGGAAAGTCCTCTTGAAAATATTAGTGAACATCAGCTTCAGTAGCTGCATAGTCCCCCCCAAAGTCATCCAACCTCTTCTATATCCCATCCAGGCACCAAGGAACTATAAGAAGTGGGGTGGAGGTAGACGGCCTCATCATGGATGGGCCCACTATAGGTGACTTAGATGCCTGTGGCCTAGCTCTCTCATCTCTCTGCCCGCCCCTCTAGTCATAGTTGTTCTCTTCATGCTACGCGACTTGCCTATGGGGCTGAACTCAGGTGGGAGTGTCATGTCAGTGGTGATGCCCTTAACCTTATTTTGACAGTGTATCTTTGTGACAAGGTGGGCATAAGGAAGGTTCTCCCTCATCTTTGTTGTTTGGGCATAGTCCTTGATCACCTCCCAAATAATTAAGGCAATGTCCATCTTGGTGCCCGCTATGAACCCACAGTAGATAGGATTCAACAAGCCATGTCTCATCACCTTGGTAGTCTTCTGTAGGTCCACAAATACCCCGAGGCAAGAGATTGTAATGGACAACTTTATTCATCACTCTGTAAGTATGTTTAAGTGCCCCAATTTCAAATTTTCCATTGAAAAGTGAAGGGTCCTAATACATCATGCTCGCATACTCTTGGGGTGAATTTCTCGCTTGGGTGTTATGGGAAAAGACAAGTGCATTGGAAGTAGGCCTCTGATATTGTAACACCTCAGCGATGACTGCCGGGGTGACCTCGATCACCTTTCCCCTCACCTTTGTCTTTAACAAACACATATCCTCATCCACCACCCCCAAGCTCTAATAAAATTCCTGACAAATGGGAAGCACCTAACCCTCCACCGCTTGGTACCAAAAGTGTAGCCCATGGCCCTCAATGGCCCGGATCACCTCATCGTGTGGTCTGAGGGTGGGCTTATTCACTTGCCGCTCACACGTCACATTCTTGGCTTTAATGATCTCCATGTGAAGGTCGATGTTCTTCTTCCTTTGCTCCCCACCATTGGGAGCAATCTCCTCCACCCTTTTGTAGGATTTGATTCCTGCTTGTGTTGATGAGATAGGGCCCATTTGTTTGGTGCGGGCCATCAAAATAAAAAATGCCCTTAGGGCAAAGAATGAGAACACCCATCCCCAAAATAACTCAAAAACACCAAGAGGTGAAGGTGGATACTTACCTATTCTAGCCATTGTCCAAAAACCCAAGTCTTGAGTTAAAATCCTAGCTTTTGATGAATTTGGTCATGTTTTATGGAGAAGGAAAGGTTTTTGAGAGAAAGGAGTTTAGGGAAATGAAGTGAAATCAAGGGGAATCAAAGCTTGAGGGAAAAAATCTATGAAGATGAAGGATGCCCAAGGGTTCTTTGAAAGGTTGGAGGGTTTTAAAAGAGGATACAATGTTTTTGAGAGGGAGGGAAATGATAGAAATGAAGGGTTTTTCTGAAAAAAAATGGGTTTAAATCCCTTGTTTTTGCGATTTTGGGCACGAGCTACCAGTAGTTAGTAAGGCTGCTACCGGTAGATGACCCTCCTGGAAAACTGCTATTGGTAGACTATGCCTCTACTACCAGTAGGTCATGCCTCTACTATTGGTAGTTGTCCCTCCCACTTTTCCAGCCATTCTATCATGAGCTAATGGTAGCTCGTGAGTCTTGATGCTTTCGAAACACATGACATGGAATTCTAAATTAAACAAAGTGAACACCCAACAAGTAAAGCAGAAACTAGAGTAAAAAGGGTATTCCTAGTTCTTTCCCATTTCAAAAATTTGAGCAATATTCCCTTATCCTACTAGCTTTGGGTTGTCAAAAACAACTTTCCAAACACCCAAACAAATCACACATGAATTTCATCATAGCACTAAATGCTATTGTAGAGTACACACCTACACATTTCCCTTCAAACTTTTGTGCAAGTGGAATGAATATGCAATTTAAACCTTTTAATCATCAGAATCCACATTCACTTGGCTATCCAAATTTAGCTTTGATGCAAAACTCACCAAGGGTTTCCCTAAAAAATGAAAGACTCAATGATTATCTTAGCATGCTCTCAAAGTGTATATGTGAGATGGAATCTTGTACACAAACCGAAATATACTCACATATAATTTGAAAGTGACGTGCATGCATAGAAATTGAAATGACCATGACATAATCTGATGAATGGAATGTTGGGGCACTAGATAGAAAACCAACTTTTCTTTTCATTTAAAGTGTGCTCTCACCATGCTTTCTCTAGATCATTTAGGGCTTTCATGGGTTGTAATGAGGCCTTGGGGTGATAATTGGGCTGAGTGAAATAAAGGGTAGAGGGAGGCAAAAAAGTTTATTCTGAGGACATGAACTTTATAATCAAGAATTTCCTTTTTGTGAAATTTTCAGCTTTACACCTTCACTTCACTTCACTTTTGTGTTTCTTTTCCTTCTTCCTTTAATATTTTTCTTCTTTTTTTTTCCATTTCTTTTCTTTTCAACCTATTTTTCTCCCTTTTCTTGGATTTTTTTTCTTTTTCATTCAAAATTTAAATTCCGCGCCATTCATTCCTTTTTGAGTTTCCTTACCACATTTCCCTTTCTTCATGATTAATCATAGTCGATCTCGAAAACACCAAGGTGTGGTAATCATTTTGCACTGGTTTGGTAAAAATTGTGGCATGGAAACTAATTTTCAATTAAGGCTCAATCATGGCACTAGGGATAAATTTTTCACAAGAAAAGGCTAAGGCTCAACGCAATTCAAAGATGATCTATAGATAAGCACGGAGAGGCATTTTGGAATTTTAAGACAAAGTCAGTCAACTATCCATATGCACTCTAACCAAAGCAAGTATAATGAGATTATTGAACAAATTTTGAATTTTAAAAATTGTTCCTTTGAGTAAATGTAACTTCCCTCCAACAAAGATTTACAATAAAACTCACATGGGTTGTGACACCCCAAAATCCGGGGGTCCGTTGATCACCCATCAACCCGTGGAATGCCTGTGGATATCATATAACTCGATGTCACACCATTATGTACCATTTACCAGGATCCATAATTTAACAAAAATCAGGCAGAGTCTCCTTTGTACGGGGAGCTTTACCCAAAACTTAACCTATACAATATACATTAACATGACCCATCCGAGACCCGATATAACACAATGACCACACCGGGTCCATTCATCCATACTCATATAAAAACATGCAAGGTTATATTAAAAACAGTCCATATGAGTTCAATTACAACTCTCTTATATAAAATTACATGCCAAAATTGTTTGCTCCAAAAATTTTACAAAAGGAGTTATAATAAATGTTTTACACTTGCATTGCATAGTGTGGTGGGAGCCGGTGAAGGCTCGGGTTAAGATGCGTGAGTGAATCTCATTTCATAGCATGGTATGGTAGAATTCTATATGGAATTGCATATTCTTACTTGGAATGTTGATGTGAATATGAATATTTGAATGTGACCATTGCACGTGCACTTAGGTGGGGAGTAGCCTCTATAGGAATTACTCTACTGGGCATGGCTCCCCCTATATGGGAAAATATTTTAGGTGCAGGATATACGCCAATGGACGGCTCTCATTCAGGGCCACAAGGGTGATGAAATACATCCAAAGATCATTTTGAAAACAAAATCATATGTTCATAAAAACCAATTTATTTCTGGATGTTTCCCATCAAATGAATCCTTTATATAATCAAGTAAAGAACAAAGGAAAACAACTGAACACTAATATTTACTTGAATAGCTATACCTCAACAACTTCCGGATAGACCGGATCCACTAATTTCTCCTTCACCTCTTGAACTTCAAAACCCTTGAAGAATGGTTTTAGTCTTTGGTCATTGACCTTGAATGTTTTACCATTCTCAGGGTTTTCTATATCCACAACTCCATGTGGGTAGTCCACCTTAACAATGTAGGGGCCATCCCATCTCGATCAAAGTTTTCCTTGAAAAATTAAGAGGTGAGAATTATACAAGAGCTCTTTTTATCCGGGCTCGAATATTTTTCTCAAAATAGATTTGTCATGGAAAATTTTAGTCATTTCTTTGTGAATTGTAGAGCTTTCATATGCATCTCTATGAATTTCCTCCAATTCATTAAACTACAACTTCCTATGGTCCCCAGCTAGTCTCAGGTTGAAATTCAAGGTCTTTATGGTCCAATATGTCTTGTGCTCCATCTCCATCGACAAGTGACAGACCTTGCCATAAACTAGTCGATAGGGAGACATACCAAGAATGATCTTATAAGTGGTGCGGTAAGCCAATAAGGCATTGGTCAACCTAAGTGACCAATCCTTTCTATTCGAGTTAACTAGTTTCTCAAGTATGTTCTTTATTTCCATATTGTCCAACTTAGCTTAGTTGTTAGTCTGTGGGTGATAAGCGGTAGACACCTTGTATGTTACGCCACATTTATGCATCAAAAAAACAAATGGTCTATTGCAAAAATGTGAGCCATCGTCACTTATCACTACACGAGGCATCCCTAACATTGAAAAAAATGTTTTTTTAGAAACTAGACCACAACTCGGTGGTCATTGGTCTTGGTAGGGATTTCCTCTATCCACTTGGATATGTAGTCCACTACCAAGAGTATATAAAGGTATCCAAAAGACATAGGGAATGGACCTGTGAAATCAATGCCCCAATAATCAAAAATTTCAATGACAAGAATGGGGGAGAGGGGCATTATGTTTCTAAGGGTTACACTTCCCAACCTTTGACACCTATCACATTGCTTACAAATTGAGACAATCTTTAATCAATGTTGGCCAATAAAAACCACTTCGTAAAATCTTAGTTGAAGTCTTCTTATAAGAGAAGGACCCACCACACGCTTCAGAATGACAAAAAGAGAGGGCAATACTTGATTAGGGCAATACTTGAACAGGTACTGGTTATCAAAGTAGAAGTACTTCAGATCCGCCATGAATATTTCTCTTATCTTTTGGGCTCTAGTGTAGGGGTATTTGTCCTATGAGAAGAAAATTGTGAAAGTCAGCAGACCACGGAAAAACTAAATGGATAGAAAATAGATGCTCATCAGGGAAAGAATAAGGGATAAGGATATGCACTTCGGTGTCTCGGACAACAAGCTGGGAAATGGTCTACCACAACATTCTCAACTCCCTTTTTGTCCATAATGATTAGGTCGAATCCTTGAAGGAAGAGGATCCATCTAACGATTCTCGATTTAACTTCCTACTTAGATAACAAATACTTCAAAGCAGAGTGATCAATGTAGACTATAATAGGTGAACCAATGATGTATGACCTAAATTTATCCAACACAAACACTACGATAAACAACTTCTTTTCCGTAGTGTTGTAATTCATTTAGATTTTTGCCAGCATAGTATATTACATAAGAATTTTTATCTTCCCTTTCACCTAGCACTACACCGACTGCATAATCACTTGTTTCACACATGAGTTCAAATAAGAGTTCCCACTTGGGTGGTCGCATGATTGGAGTTGAGGTAAGCATTTTTTTATGTTTTTGGAAAGATGCCACATAACCATCCGACCACACGAATGGGACATCCTTTGCTAGCAAAATTTTCAAAGGTCTTGCAAATGCGCTAAAATCCTTAATGAAATGGCGATAAAACCCTGCATGGCCAAGAAATGACCTGATGTCCTTAACTACCCTTAGAGTGGGTAGATTGAAAATTGTTTCCACTTTGGATTTGTCCACTTCGATTTGTTTTGCAGACACAATGTGTCCAAGAAAAATCCCTTGAGTTAACATGAAATGACACTTCTCCTAGTTAAGCATCAAATTATTCTCTTCGCATCCCTCTAAAAAATTCTCTAAATTCTCCAAACATCCTTCAAACGAGTTCCCAAACACTGAGAAGTCATCCATGAACACTTCCATAATATTTTCCACCACATCACTAAATATCCCTATCATACATCTTTGAAAATTTCTTGGGGCATTGCACAAGCCAAACGACATTCGACGATAGGCAAATGTTCCAAAGGGGCATGTGAATGTGATCTTCTCTTGATCTTCCAGGTTGATCTCTATCTGATTGTAGCTAGAGTAGCCATCTATAAAAT